GTGCGGGCATTGTCAGAGACTACAGGCCACATGGAACAAACTGGGAGACAAATACAACAACATGGAGAAAACTCCAGTGCACGTAGCCAAAGTTGACTGCACCGAAGATACCCAGATCTGCTCAGAGAATGGGGTCCGAGGTTATCCCACGTAAGTGCCGCACTGGCGGACGGGTTCTTTCCATTGAAAGTGTTGATCTTCACCTAGTTTTTAAGATATTCTTGCACAATAGTTGGGAGTGAGGTTTGTGAGTGAGCAGATGTTCTCAGTGTGTTACTACTTGGCTGGTTAACAATCCCCCAAATAAAATAAATCATTCACATCATGGCTGTTAATGGGACATTGGTGTGTGCAAATTCACCTACAAAGTAGCTGCATTTATATTACAGATACATTTCTGAAATAAGACTGAGCCACTTCCTCTGGAAACTCTACCCCCAACTGCAAACCGTACATTGTACAACATCTTGGGGTGCCCCCTGACATGTAAATCTAAATTTGTAGTTGTGTTGAATATATTTGGATACCAAATATATTCCCGATTCAATATTACAGAAAACGGAATTGCCTTGAGCTGTTAAGACATGTAAAGGCTGAACATGTAAAACGTTAATTGTACAGCAAAAAAAGGAGTTAATTTGTGGGCAAAGTTGTTTTTTAAATGCTTACAGCTTCAACCGAAATTACACATTTCTTTTTAAGAAAAGGAGGGATTTGGTTGTAATAATCCTGAAATAGAATCTGAGCCTTAATTAAGCAGCAGATTTTTCAGTTTCAGATCTATATAGAGGTTGCACCTGAGCCCTGCCTGTCATTTATTTTTATGTTTGGTTATATTCAAAGGATTAATCTTTTCTTTGTGAATATTTCTAAATCAATATTCTGCATAGAATTTGGGAGGAAAGATGTTTCTTACAAATTAGGCTTGATCTCCAGAAATGCTTTCAATATTTAATTAAAAAAAACAATATGTAACCCAGTTTGGGATGCAGCATTGCTCACTGAACAAATGTAAAGTCATTCACATTCCAGTTCTGATTTCTCTCTTTCTCTCCCCACCCCCCCTTCACCCAATTATGAAAAATCCTTTAAAAGTAATGAGGCAGAACACTTCATACAACATTTTCATTCTCTGCATTTCTAAATTACTTTCAACTCTTGAGCAAATAATTGCTGGCTGTGCAGTTTAATTTTTTTAAAAAAGTAATGTTTCCCCCCCTCTGGTTGATCATCAGACTCAAGTTGTTTAAACCTGAACAAGATGCTGTCAAATATCAGGGACCTCGAGACTTCGAATCGCTGGAAACATGGATGATTCAGACAGTGAATGCTAAACCTGCTGTAAGTATGGAATGCAGTGTCTTTCTCCTTCTTGTTGCTTAACCTCAGGTTTTTGCATTGATGTAAACTGGTGCTGTGAAAGCAAAACATTTACCTTTCTGCTTTTGTTATTGTTTTATTTCCTCTCTCCTGTCTGCAACCAGAACTAGTGACATTGTATTTGGCTGCAACATTGCAGCTGTAACAGGGCAAGTTCGAACTTATTTATGCAGGATTTGTAATATGTGGCCAGTTGATCTAATCTCATTGTCATTTTGCACTGGTAAAGTCTGAACATCTTGTTTTTAAGGCAATTCAACTAAGCTGGACTTTTATTAAGCTTTTATTAAGTCAATTAGTGTGGAACTGACCCACTTAATAAAGTCAGTTCAGGTAACTGTCACTGTGTTTAATGTCAAAAGTAAATCTAGCAAGTATGGGTTGATGGTGGTAGTTGAGCTCACAATGAACACATACTCAGTGATTGGAAGGTCTTGTTTTACCTTTTCAATGTATTGCTAACTGGTCCAGAGGCTTCTTATTCCGAGTATTGAATATTGAGTCCGAAACACTGAATGCCCAGCTCCGTGGGATGTCCTCCTGATATGAAAGGCGCTATACAAATGTAATTTTGTTGTTGATTGTTCTTAAAGGAGTTGGACAACAACAATTTACATTTGTATAGTATCTTTCATACTGGAAGAAAGTCTTAAAGCATTTTACAAAGACTGAGTGGCAGTGGTGGCTGAAAGTGCAGTCAAAGAAGTAGGTCTTTGAGAGGGATTTGAAAACAGAGAGGGAAGGAGTGAGGCAGAGGGATTTCAGGAGAGAGTTTCAGAGAGAGAGGGGACAGAGTGGCTGAAGGCTCACCCACTGAAGGTGGGGTGGATGGATCAAGAAAGTGGCATGATCCAGGTTGGAAATGGTGGAACAGGGGGAATGGCCAGAGGTAGGGTGATGCAAGGCCATGGAAGTATTTCAAGATGAAGAATGAGCATCTTAAAATTGATCCGTTGTTGGATGGGGAGCCTGTGGGGTGCAGTGACTGTGTAATTTGTAGGCAAATGAGATATTGCTTTGAAGGAAAGAGCAGCCTAACTTCCTCTAGCTGAGGGAACATTATACAAATGTAATTTTGTTGTCAGGGTGCAGCTGAGGTTAATCTTGTAAAATTTTCCTACAGATAAGAGTTACTGCATAACAGTAACTTGCATTTATGTAGCACCTTTCACACCAGATAGGGTCTCGGAGCCTTGTACAGTTGTCGGGTTAGATGTTGAGCAAGAGATGACCATTGGTTTGATCAGAGGTGAATCTTAAGGTTGGATTTAAAGATGGATAAAAGAAAATATCACACAAAAAAGTGAAGTCCTTTGACGTGATAAGACACTATATTGAATGCAAGAATTGTTAACAACTCTAGACTCAGGTGCTTGATGTGGTATGCATTATCTTAATGTCATTTCAGATTAGAGGGATTACTACAAATTTGGTCTTTAGGTTTGGGTGAGGATACTGAGAAACATGAATCTTGGCGTACGTTGGTGCAAGAAAGCTATTTGGGTCTCCAGGTTTCAATTTCATTTGAAGACACTGCAACTTTATTTTTAAAGAGCAAAAGATATAAGGGGGCTGTGGCGTTAAATGTTGTTTTGCATTCTTGAGCTATAAATACCACATGATAATCCTTTAGCCTACATCACCTGCAGATGAACCCGTCAGTGATCTTTGGTAGCAGCATGAACTAATGTGCTCTTATTAATGGCAGGATATAATATATAATAATCCTTCCATTTGGATGTTGTAAAGAAACAAAGGGTTTGCTGTTGGTTAGTAAGTGTTAACTGGGGGAGGAGTACTGAGCAGTTCTGAATGAGCGAAAGACATCCAACTTGCTCTGTTCTGCTTCAGGATCTGCTTTGCCCACTTTTCATCCTTTCCCCGATCAATCCTGTTTCCTTCCACAGCACGTCAGTAATTTCCTAATAGCAGACCCAGGTTTCTATTTGAAGTCTTCACTCAGTTGATGGTTTCCTGGGCCAGGTGGACTGCTGTTGAGCACTATACACAAAGAAGTTACCTGAACATTTGGCTTCCTTTACACTGGGTTCCCCAACTCCCTCCCTCCACTGTTCAAGCTCCCATTCTCTGAGAAACACTTAGAGATGTTTCCCTTATGTAAAAGGTGCTGTACAAGTGCAGGTTGATGCTGTTGGTGGGCTTGTTGTTTCGCTCTCTCCCGTGATGATGATGATCCTTGCATTTGATATAGCACCAAATCATGTTGTCGAGACATCTCAAAGCACTTCTCCAGTTTACTGTAGAGTAAATATATAATGACTGTATTTTGTGAGCGAACGCAGCATCCAGTTTACACAAACCAAGACCCACAAACAGCCATAAAGTGAGTGATCAATTTTATTAAGGGGATTGTTGGTCAAGATTCTAGGAGAAAGAAACTCCCTTTTTTTGGATAGTGCCATGGGATCTTTAATATCCACCCAAACAAGCAGACAGGACCTTGATTTAATGATTCAATTGAAGGACAGCACCTCTGCCACTGCAAGTGCATTTCATTAGAGTGTTAGCCTATACTGTCAGTTCAAAGTCCCTATGTGTGCTTGAACCCACATCCTTTCGACTCAGGTAAAGAGTGATACCAACTCAGCCATGCTAACACCTGATGGTTGAGCGGTATGCTGTGGATTCTTGGGAAAGATTGACAATTTATTGTGTGATTGACTTCAGGATTGGCTTGAGGGTTGGGGGGGGACAGAGGAGGCCTCAGTTAGACACTCTGACATGTATTTCGTCACAAGGATAATGAAGGAAATATATTGGACAATGTACAAGAGATTCTTGTTAGTTATCCCTAAATATTCTTAAAAGTTTGCAAAAACAATAGATGGATCTTTTCCTTTAATGGACAAGTGTAATGCTAATGTTTAAAAGCTGTCATTTATTCTTATTAGGAACTAGAAGCTGAGCTGGAAACTCCCCAAATCCCTGAAGCCAAGCAAGGCTTGTACGAGCTGTCAGCAGAGAACTTCAAGTCACATACGGCACAAGGTATGTTCTGGACTCTGATGTATGGTCATTAAATTTTCTTCCTTGTCTTCTGAAGGCACTGACTCTGCTGGGGTATTGTGGAGGATTGGGAGTCAGCCAGTATCTCACTCAAGTAACTATTATTCAGGAATGTGCCTCAGTTCTGAGCAGGGTAGCTCAGGTGTGCTGCATTGGCAAGGAATGGGGAGTTCCTTTTACAGCTGTGTAAATGTGAGCACAGGGCTGGGATTAATAGCTATTTTTCGCGACCACATCACTCCCACCCTCGCTCGCCTCCACTGGCTTCCAATCCCCCAGAGGATCGAATTCAAGATCCTCATCCTCACCTACAAGGCCATTCACGGCCTCGCTCCCTCCTACCTCTCCGACCTACTATCCCCCTACATACCTACCTGTACCCTCCGTTCCTCTGGCTCCGGTCTGCTCCACATCCCCCGCCCCAACCGCCCTACCATCGGTGGCCGGGCCTTCAGCCTCTCAGCCCCTAGGCTCTGGAACTCCATCCCCCAGTGCCTTCGCCGCCTCCTCCCTTTCCTCCTTCAAGGCCGGTCTCAAGACCTTTCTCTTTGACCGTGCCTTCAGCTCCCCTCTCGACTCTCTACCCCTCCCTCGCTCCCTCCCTTCCCTCCCCTCACCCTGACGATTTCCCCCCTCCTTGCTTCCTCCCTTCCCTCCCTCACCCTGACTATTTCCCCCCCCAAGGCTCGGGTCCTGACCCAACTGTCCAGCGCCTTGGGACGTCCTCCCGACGTGAAATGCGCTCTATAAATGGAATCTTGTTGTTGTTGTTAAGAAAAGCGCAAGGAAATGTTACAGTTAAGCTGCTATGATTATGCTTAATTATTATTGTAAAAGTTGAGAGGTTTGTTGATGCAACAATATTTCAAGAGCGCCGACTTGCATAAAGCGTAATTGTGGTGCTTGAACCTGGCATCTTCCAGGTCCTGTTGTAAGAAATTAATCAATCTTGAGTTTGATTCATCCTTCCATGCTATAAATTTCTATGGCACTACAGTACAAACCGTAAACCTAGACCCTATGTCTTTCCCCCACCCCCCCTCATATCTGTTGTTTGGGGAAGGTGGTGCAAGACATTTTCCCAATAACTATTGTTTTAAAAAAATTCAATTTCAGGTTTCCATTTCATCAAGTTCTTTGCCCCGTGGTGTGGGCATTGTAAGGCTCTGGTCTCCACATGGGAACAGCTGGCATCAATGTACGAGCATTCGGGCAACCTGAAAATTGGCAAGGTGGGAACAAATTTTTTGTACCTTTATAAACTCACAAGTACCATGAGTAGAAATGCATAATATAAATTATTGGCTAAGCTGGAATATTTTGCACTTGGTTTTAATATCCTGCTACAGATAGAGGGTGTTGTCATTGGTCAGTCCAATTATCCGTTGATCTTTTTAATTTTTCGTAAAATCTATTTGCAGATTATTGCTGTACTGTTAGCGAGGATGTTCATCGCCCCTTTATTTTTCTTATATTCACATTGTTCTCATCCTCACCCTGAAGTGGTGGATGTTTCTTATGTTCCACTTGCTATGATATTGTTTGAGAATTTATGTTTTCACCTAATTGAATTCTAGGTGGACTGCACTATCAATCAGCAACTTTGCTCTGATAATCAAGTCCGTGGATACCCAACCCTTATGTGGTTTAAGGATGGAGAAAAGGTAAGTGGTGTCCTTTAATCAAGCTGAGAAATTTCATGTTTTATTTCTCCTCCCACCTCTTGATGTAGATGGCTTCTGACCACATGCTGTGCCTTTGAAAAGTATCGAGTTTGAAACTTTTAGCAAAACTCTGAACTGGTTGAAATTCCAGAGCTTGGAAGAATTTGATCAATTGGTACGGAGGGAGATGGAAATAAAAGTTTGATTTGAATCTTCCCGACAGACTCTATCGAATTATTTTATTATTCTCCCTCATCTCGAAAGAGATTGTAATAAACAAGGTACTACGTGGCACTTTTAGAACCTCCTGACAGATGTTTAGTGGTGAGGGGGGAGAGGAGAAAGAAATGTGTCAGTTCTTGTTGTTGTGGCTGTTTGTTCTGACTGAAAACAGGACATCTTTGAACATCTGGCTTGCGTGACTTTAGAAACAGGAGTAGGCTATTCAGCCCCTTGAGCCTATTCTGCCATTCTACAAGATCAAGGCTGATCTGTACCTCAAATCCAACCACCCGCCCTTGCCTCTATCTCTTAATCCCCCGACCTAACAAATATCTATCCACCTCAGTCTTGCAAATATGAATGGATCCAGCATCCACAGCCTTTGGATATTGGACACATTTCCACTACCCTTTGGGTGAAAAAAGCCTCCTAATTTCACTCCTAAATGGCCTAGCTCTCATTTTAAGATACCCCACCCCCTGTTCTGGAGTTCGCTACCAGAAGAAATAGTTTCTCTGTATCTACCCTATCTACCCCTTTTATTATTTTAAAATATATTTTAAAAAAACTTTAAGCAATACTTGAGTGGGGTGAGGGAAAGAGGAACTTGTAATCTTGATTGAATATTAATGCTGCGTTGAAGGATGCCTTAAATTCAGAGTTCTTATTTTCTTCACAGATCGATCGTTACGGAGGGAAGAGGGATCTGGACTCTTTGAAGCAGTTTGTGGATTCCCGGTTAAATGCGGCTCAACCTTCTGAAGAGGAAGTAGCAACTGATGAAGCTGAGCAGGTGGAGGAAGAGCCGGAGAAGGTAGAGGCAAAGGAGGATCTGGTATGTAAGACACTAGGATAGTTCTACATGGGTGGAGGGGGACACGACTGCATTTAAGCATCAAAACATCACGGAAGCGCTGATGAAGAAAGATGAATGGGGAGGGGAAAGTATAATCCTGGTTAAACCTGTCCCAGGCAGAGCTGTTAAATGGTACAAAACATTCCTCTAAGCAACAGGTCAAATCTTAAAATAATTAATGAACGTTTGCATAATTTGCATTCTTCAACTTTTTTTTATTCTTAATAAGCTCCTTACATTCCGATATAGAGCCTTTCATATTGGGAGGACGTCTTCAAGTGCTTTACAGAATTTGCTGTAAAGGATAATGACTGTATATTTTGTAAGGGAACCCAGCAGCCAATTTTAAGTATAACTGATGAATAAGTCGGGAAATAGTATCTGAAATAGTATCATGTACAACACTTATGCTGTACAGACCACTGTGTTGCAGATTCAATTCCCAGTCTGCTGAGTTAGATCACAATGTTGGTTCGGATGAAAAAGTCCCTTCAACCCATCTGATTTTGTGCCTCCAGAATACCCACCCCACCATCTCCCCATCAGAGCATCAAGCTGCTTTTTGAAAGAGTTCAGTATCTTGGCTTTAACCACCCTTTCTCAGTAGCTGTATCCTCAGGGCAGCATTTGGATGCATGTAATCTTCTTGTAGCTCAGTGTAGCTCAGTGGTTAGAGCACTCGCTTTGCAAGCGAGAGACCTGAGTTCAATTCCAGGCAGGGCGAAACCTTGGGCAAGTTTCCTTACTCCATACGCCTAATAATAATCCCTCCAAAACAAAAAACAATAATAAATTGGTCATTTTGAATCTACGACTGTTTGTGGGACATTGCTGTGCGCAATTGGCTGCCGCGTTCGCCCACAAATATACAGTTAATTCACTTTACAGTGTGTTCTGTGAAGCGTTTTGGGACGTCCTCCCGACGTGAAAAGCGCTACATCAAATGCAAGGATTATTATTATTATTCTTGGGCTAGAGTGGGAAAGTAGCCCAGTTTCCCATTCCTGAAAGCTATCCAATGACTCCGGCATGTTTGGATATCGGGAGAGAGCAGAGTTAGACTTGATCAAATAGGCTACTGATAATTCACCAGCTCGGCTTGTACATGTGTACTGGCCACTTGGGCTTCGGATGGTGTCTGGAGCAATATCCTAGTGAAGTGACAGAATCTTTAGCAGAGTAGAGTAGGCATTTGAGAGCAAATTTAGCTGAGGTTGGATTGCTTAGGATGTGCATACACTAGATTTCAGAAAATGCTGCGTTCTCCCGCAAAACACTCATTGCCGTTTCAATATGCCGTGAAGCATTTTGAGACATCGTCCTTACGTGAAAGGTGCTACATCAAAGGTAAGGATTATTATTATGCTTATTCTAGATCTGTGCATTTGTTTTCTCATCTTGTGAACATCTCTGTAATGAAGGTGATGTGTTGCTTAAGACACTTTTTCAGCCCCCACTTGAAACAGATGGTGATTAAAATCATAGACTTACAAACAAAAACACCTCCCTAGTAAGGGAAAAATAGGCAATCCCTAACTGCCTTCAAGAACAAACTTCCAAAGTGCGTCAACTCTGGAAGTTTTGTCGCTCTCGTTAAGGTGTACTGTACTCTGGGTCAGATGTGAGATTGTTTTCAAAGGTTAAAGGGTGGCTGAGATATGGCAGTCCTATGGACATTGTTGTCTTGATGCAGAAACTGTCAATGGATGACAGCCCCCACCCCTCCCCTCCAATCCCTTGCACATCCAGCAGCTGGATAAAACGTGTGATTTAAGGAGTGTTGGGAGCAGACTTGCCCCCTCAGAACAGGGACAATATGGGCCAATTAAAAGCCTCATCACAGGGTGAGACACAAGACATATTGTGGGTTATTTTGTCTGTCCTGTGTCTTGTACTGTTTTGGAGGTTTGTGACTTATTTCCTCTCTGCAGTCTGGTGTGCTGGTCCTGACTGAAGATAGTTTTGATGAGGCCATTGCCACAGGTGTTACTTTTGTGAAGTTTTATGCTCCATGGTAAGTGACTTGTTTTCTGGTGGGTAGAACATTTGCGAGTTTGCTGCAAGATGATATTTTTATTCAGAATGCTATACTTTCTGGTGCTTCATTTGACTTCAGATCCTGCTTTATGGAGGGGAGAAACAGCCAGGGTTTCTGGCAGATGCTTAATTTGCCAGCGCAAACTGTCAAGGCTCAAGTATGTTTATTCAGCAGAAAAATTGAGGAGTAAAACACCCAGCCAACTTGGGTGACTGCCAGCCAGCTGTGTGAAGCGCTTTGAGACGTCCTCCTGATGTGGAAGGCGCTCTGTAAATGTAAATTGTTATTCAGGAGAGGAAGTGAAGGGAGTGGAGAAAATTAGCAAAGAAACAAAATAAGTACTTTTTTTCTCTCTCAGAACCATATCAATTTATATATAGCAAAGGCAACTCGACCCATGACAGCTGTGCCAACTTTTATAGAACAATCCTCCCTGTCTCAAAAATATTTTCTCTTCCTTATCTCCCACCACCCAAAAAAATCTCCTTTCAAGTTTGTGGCTTTATATGATGCCGAGCATAAGTTCATGATTGTACCACACTGCAGAGATCTCAATCTGAACTTCGGTCACCCTCCTACCCTCCCTGTCCTCCACCCCTCCTGATCCCAGCCCCTCGGATTCCAAATCCAAATTCTCCACCATCCAGGGCCTTGACACATTCTCCAACAGATGTTATTTGTTGTTGTCGTTGAACTTCATTCCTCCAGAGAGGCTGGGCACAGGGAGGGAATGAAATCCACTAGAGATCAGTGGTTCCTGGCTAGACAAAAACGTGTACGGAAAAATGTAAATCTCACTCATATGTGAATGTTTTATTCAATTAACCACAAGAAAATAGTTTTTCCTTCAAAATGAAAAGAAACTTAGAAATCTAAACTTAAACGCTTATTTCACTCTCAAATCTACAGTCAATTCACTTTACAGTATAGTCTGAAGTGCTTTGAAACATCTGAAAGACGTGAAAAGCGCTATGTCAAATGCAAGGGTTATTATTATTGTTATTATTATAACCCTGAAACACCCTTTATCCGCTGTGTGTCTTTTTCCAGGTGTGGTCACTGCAGGAACATAGCACCAACATGGGAGGATCTTGCCAATAAGGACTTTCCTGGTTTAAGTGAGGTCAAGATTGCAAAAGTAGACTGCACAATGGAGCGTACCCTCTGTAATAGATTCTCTGTAAGTACAAGTCACTCGGTAATGGGAAGGCTATTAATGAGGCGTGTTGAGAAGAGAGCTGGAATTGAGCTCTTTCATGGTGTCATCTGTCACGGTCTGCCATTTGTTGACTGCTTCCCCAATCTCTATTTGTTAAATCAGCAGCCACATTGTATTTTTAGACACACAGACATTATAAGGATGCCCTTTGTAACCACCCACAAGAGGATTCTGAATTTACACTCTTGCGTTTTAGAGCAGGCAGAATTTGGCAAATTCTTCCGATTCGTTTTCAAACCTTTTTGTTGCAGTTCTAAACGAATCTACAGAAAATCAGCTTTGTCTGACTTCAAGCATTTGTTGAATTCTTCATGCTCTAAAATGCTAAGACCTAGAGTGCAGGTCTAGATCCAGGTGGAATTTCTCCCCACATATTTATATGTATACACTTTTCAGCAAAGGTCCTGGAATAGTAAACGGGTACAGAAAGCTTGGCTGATTATTTGATTCAACCTCTTCCCCCCCCCCCACCCACACCTGGGGCATTGAAACTCATTTGTAACACCCCCATTACTGCCTCCAGCTAAGTCACATCAGGAATAGAAACTTGCAACCTTTTGGGCCTATATGGTTCCATTTTATTGAGCAGCAGATTTTAACCACAGTGGAAAAGCATGGAGTTTCACTGATGGCATTTATGTGAAAAAGTCTCTTCTGATTGAAGTGTTCCCTTTAAAATGGATTCAGTAAAAACACAAATTTTACAGCTAAAGTTATTTTTAAAAAGATGAAACGCTTCATTTGGAAGAAATGTGTGCAGTAATGTTATTTATTGTAGGGACCATATTAGTTTTGTAGTTGTAGGGACCATATTAGTTCAGCGCCTTGGGACGTCCTCCCGACGTGAAAGGCGCTCAATAAATGGAATCTTGTTGTTGTTGTTTTGTGTGACTTCAAACATATAAGAGCGGTATTGGAGTCAGAAAAAGTACCTGTGGAGAAATCAGTGTAAATGGTGCTTCAGGATATGGAATGGGTAAGGTAATCGATCCCATGTACAGCACACTGACTTGGGAGGCCTCTGGTCTTGTGACATATGTGGGCATCCCTGGTGAAGAGGCACCATTGCATTTCTGTTTTCATGACTTTAGTGCTTTTTCAACCCCATTAGCAGTTTATTGTCAAAGAAGCTCTGAAGGCATTTAATTTTTTCCTGTTTGTACCAAGAATTTTCATGAGTGAAGAAAGTTAAAAGATGTGATCGAGATAAAACACTATCTTTGTTTATAAATGTTAAAAGGGTTTCTTCATTCAGAAAATAGTAATGTCAACTGACTAGGATTTAGTTGTTTTTCTGATTGTGAAGTTGAAATTCTGCCTTTAGGCTGGCGTGCTGAATCACTTTAGTTTGGAACCATGAAACACTGCAGGTATAGTTTAAAATCAAATCTACTTAGAATGGACAATGATGCCATTGACGTTGCACAAGCTGGATTACACAGGCAGCTTTTTATATAGTACAAAAAAAAGTTTACCTTTGGCCAGGAAACAATGATATTGCTGAGAAATATAAGCTTGACCCAGAGAGAGAATTGGGGGCGGGGAGGAATGGTAATTTCTCAAGAATGGGTTCATTAATTTGTCCCGGTAGATTACAATACAAAATTACATTTGTATAATGTAATTGGGAGGATGTCCCAAGATGCTGATGACCACCTTGGGATCGTCCTCTATACCTACTTTCCTCACTCATGAAAAGCTTGGTACAAACAGGGAAAAATTAAAAGCCTTCAGAGCTTCTTAGACAATAGAACTGCCAATGATCATTTACTGCTCACTTGTCATGGGTATCTAATTTATTTCAGAAGTCACAGGTTCCTTCTAGTGCAGAAGGAACTAGGTAGATACCTTAAGAGTCAGCTAGAGGGTATGGAGACAGGGCAGACAAGTGGGACTGAGAATTGCTCTCGAGGTAGCTGGCACAGACATGATGGGCTAAATGACCTTCTGTGTTGTAAATGTCTATGGTATAATTAGCTAGCACGATTGAACTGCCCCTCAGGGTGAGGTGTGTGCATTATTAATAATATATTTTCTCTCTCCAGCTGTGCCATGGTTTCTGTTAACATTTCTCAGGAACAGCTAAATATTACAATTGACATAATTTGTGTTTTTATTCTTCCAAGGTCCGTGGTTATCCCACGTTACTCCTGTTCCGTGGTGGTGAGAAGGTTAAAGAACACAATGGAGGAAGAGACCTGGAGGCTCTCCACAGTTTTATACTACAGCAGGCCAGAGACGAGCTGTGAAAGATGCACTCCCTCCCTGTTACCACCTTGGCCTCACCCTTGCTATTATAAATATAGCTTTGAGAATGTTTTTAAAATTTGAACGTGCAAAAAACAATTGTTTTTAAAAATTCTTTTCCATTTTTCTTAATTACCAGTGAGGTGAAGCCAACTTTTCAGGGTTCCTGTAAGATTACATTGGCTGGTGTCCTGTGTAGCAATGCAGGGAGTGTGCTTGTCTCATGGGCATTTGTCTTTTTAAAGTATCTGCATATGTGGTTCATCTGGCACCAGTCAGTCCTGGTAGCAGTAGCTGCTTTGTAATTTGCTGTGAAAAGCAAATTGACCCAAGTACCTCAGCCTATCATCAAGCCCCCCCATCTCCTGCAGCTATTAAAACCTAAGGAAGTGTGTGTGATGATGGTGTGTATTTCTAGCTTTTAAGTGTGACTGGAAGTAGTAACCTTGTCAAAATTGATATTTTTATGTTACAATTTTTTTTTCCAACCAGTTCTGAGGGTAGGACTTGAAAGCAGACAATAAGTATCACAGGGATTAAAGTAAATATAGCATCATGAGAAATTAAACAGGAATGCAGATAGTTACAGCAGCTTCCAATGTGAAGACCAACATTACACAAGGAATAACTAGCTTTCTGAGATAACCCAGTCAGGATATCTACAGACACATTCCTCTAATCTGCATCTCTGATTACATTTACAAAGATTAACATTTTGAGTCCTTTATTTTATACACTTCACTCAATTTGGCAGATGGCAAAGTATATATCCTTAAATGCAACACAGTCTGTTAACCCACTCAGTTGGATGAAGGTTGTGCAGAAAGAAATGATCAATGTTGGGTGCATGTTTAGGAATGGAATAGCATAAGCAAAATTGAACAGGAAAACCACTTAATTTAATCCTTTATTGTTAGCACATGGTGTAAGAATTAACGGTTGATGGAGAAAATAACATTTGTAAGTACAGTTGGCACTTCACTTCTGAAACTTTTGTACAAAACACAATTATTGGAATGTGGTACGACAGAATGTCAATAGTTTACACAACTTGACAATTTCTAATAAATTTCTTAAGAAAATGATTGTCTGTAGTTTGTTTATAACATATGGATTCTGTCAAAACTAGGGTGATGAAGTCTAAAGCAAAGCTTTACATTCTACTCAGTTGGATGCAGGACATTCACTCACCCTCCATCAGGTACCAAGAACACAGTGGCTGCCGTTTGGATTTTTTTCCCCTCCCCAAAAAATATAACCAGCACTTTAACAGCCCAGGTCAAACACTTACCAAAAATACCCCCAAACAAATAAATTACATTTGTAGGAAAACTATTTACAAAATATATTACAAAAGCTTTTTCTTATGTAGAAACATTTTTTTAAAAATTGTAAACATTATATACAGAGGTATTTATTTCTTCAGGGATTCATATTGCTTTGCATTGAGGACATGGTTCCTTCCCCCAGTAGTTCTGAAAGCGGTTTTGTTGCCTGTTAGTGGCAACCGCAGGCTCTGACCACCATGTTCCTGTACTTTTTCAAGATGACGTTTGAGCTGTCATCAAAGAAGAGGACGGAAATTGCGTTGAGCTTGGTGGGGGCACAGCAGGGTTTTGGAATGTAGTCTGGGTTCATGAGGTGGACCTGATTTGAACGATGTAATGAGGAAGGTATTTTTTAAGTTAAGTTTCAACTCAGCTTTGTCAGACTTCAGTAGCAATCACAACACATTCTCCTGCATTCTAGCTTTTCATCATAGCAATAATTCCTATTCTCCCCCACCACCCACAAATGGAGGAATACCTTCACTTGGATAGGAATCTTAACAGCTCCCAAACATTTGCAGCACAGCAACTTTCAAGCTATCACTTTCGAGACAAAGTCAGCACTTTGACTAAATCTGAAATCCTAGTGACCCCACAACTAACTATTTACTACCTCTGATAAAGCATTGAGTAATCTGCTACAGATACTTTAGGATATAATACAACTGTTCTATTTTCAACTTCAGATGAGAAAAGTGGGAAAATTAACTGGAATTTATCACAGGCTGACATCTAACCCCAAAGAATGTTGGTCACAGGCACACTAGCAAAAGACAGTTCATCTTTGTTCATTTGAGGCATTCAAAAAAATACAAATCCCCACCCAAAACAGACACCCATCTCCACTGAGGAGGGGCATAAAATCAAGCATCTCAATGGCTTTGAGAATCACAGTAACATTTAATCCTAAGTTTCCCACATCTTCTCACTCAGGGTTTCAGTACAACACCCAGGTATTAAAATACATCACCAGTTATTAGTTCCATTGTTCAAATCTAATTCAATAAATTTAAAAGTCATGGAGTTGACACCAGTTACTCTCACTTTTTTTAATGTTTACTAGGATGACACAACTTTTTTTAAAGTCTCTGTTCAGTTCTGCTTTATTCTAAAAGGTCCATTAAACTGTACTTTTACTCACCAGTGTCTGTACAATTGCATGATTTGTGGCATTCATGTGTGCATTAAGAGGAAACGAGCATTCTCCTTCGCAATAATATGCCGCATATCCTTCAGGTGCTATTATCCAGTCCTTTGAAAAGAAAATATAATGACAGTACTGATCTATGAGCAGTGAATTACTGGAATAGCTCCCCTTTCCCCCAGGGTCAATTTCAAATCCAGGCCTGAATTGCATTTTCACACAGGCAGAACTCGCCAATTTAACAATACTCCCCATGTAGAACATCAGGCTGGCTCAGTGGGTAGCACTCTTGCCTCCAGGTCAGATCATTGTGGAATCAAGACCTGCATCAGTACTCGAGTGCATAGTTGGAGTTTCACTCACTCTGTGTCCTGGCCATAAACCCCAAATAAAATTGGTCACTCATTCCTTGGCTATTTGTGAATCATTGCTATGTACAAATTAGCTGTTTCATTTGCCCACACAATACATGTAGTCACATCACTTGTACCGTGAGAAGCACTTTGAGACATCTCAACACAAGCTGCTATATAATAATAACAACCCTCACAATTTATAGCTTCTTTCATGTTGGGATGATGGCCCAAAGCACTTCACAGGGAATGTACCATGACGTCCAGTGACTGTTTTGTGGGTGAATGCAGCTGTCAATTTGTGGACAGCAAATGCAAGGATTATCATCAAGTAAAAATGCATCTCATATATTCAAAAGGAGGAGAGGGTAAAACGTCAGCAACAGAAAGTAAAATCTCATCTCCCTTCCTGAGAAGTAGATGAAAATATCTATCTTTTAGATCCACAGAACTAAGATAACTGAAGTACATAAAATAAAACCAGAGGGACTACTGTGAAGCAAGCTGCATAAGAGGAGAACCAGGGATGAAATGCTGCCTAAACACCCACACATTCACTTTAGAAATACAAAGTATGTCAAGTAATAGTCTTGCCCATTTTTTCCTTAGAACATTGGTTGTGATCTGATACCAATGAATGTCCAACAAGTCTCCTTGGGGGATGGTTCATTCATCCACTGAAGGCACAATGCCTACTAGTTACAACAGCACTCCCTCAAAGTGAATAGTGCAACATTGCTCTACTCCTGGGAGACGCTTTGGCTCAGTGATGCAGAAACTATGCCAAACAACCTCCTGCTACTGTGATGACAGCTGAGAAAAATTATACAGAACAGTGTCAGCAAGTAGCTGGAGAGTTGGCTTTCCCACTGTTGAGCAAGGTGTTGGTGTATAGCTCCCACTGTACAGTTAACTCCTTCAGTTATTATCTCATCTACCCCATTTCTATATGACATATACAACATCCTCTAGATCAATTCCTACTCCCCAGCATCTGGCTACAAATCACAACCTTTAAGAAATCGCACTAAAAATGATACTGTACATATAAAACAATTCCCAAATTTCTCTTCTCACTTCCAGATCTCTCCTCCAACAGCAATTACTTATGGTTAACCAGATTGTGTGCAGGTCACTATGACGCACTCTCATCTCCAGGTGTGCTACTGGCAACTCATGCTGTGAATCGCCACATATTAAATTCCATTACATCTGTACCCGATGAGTAGGTCAGTCCTGACAATTGTAGCAAAAGATCTAAAGACGGGCTCGTAACCACTAGCAGTGCACAGTGCAGAAAATCTCTCTCTGTTACAGCAGTGCACAGCACGGTATTTATGTTGTGCGTGAGCAACAGCAGTCGGGCAATGTTAGGGTGCCCTACCGTCATTGCTCACACACACAACAAATAGCACAGAATCAGAGAAGCATACTACAGAAAAGATCTAGCAGCCACAAGCAGCAATTCTGCATTTTAGAGAGGTCCAACATCCAGGAAGCGAATGCATCGGAAGGATTGTTGCCAGTACACCTGCAGAAAATCTCTTTGCTGCGTTATAGAATTTTTACCTGCAGCTCACTGAACAGGCAGACAGGATCTCAATTTAACATCTCACCCAAAGAACAGCATCCCCACCAGGTAATTGCACTGCACAGAGTTGTGCCTAGATGGCGCTAAACCATGACCTGAGAGTGCCACCAAATGAGCCAATAATTGTGTTATTACTACAAAGAAAACCAACATTAAATTTATATTATGCATACAAAGAACATCACAGCACTAACATTTCTACAAGTGTGTGGCTCACTTTCAAGTAGCAAGAATGTTACAGCTCTATCAAACACATCACCATGGAGATTGCGGAAAAGAAAAGGGATAGAGGGTAGATTCCAGTCTCAGTGATGTGTAGTGTGTACTCTCTGCTAGTAATGAGATTACCTTACCAAACAGAAATTACGTCACGCTTATTTGAAGCTTTTGCCTAAGGTGAATGACAAAGGTCAGGTCCGACTCTAAAAGTGGGAATAAAAAGATATTTGTTGTTACCTGCCAACCCAGGTCCCGAAAACTCACATACAGTTCATGCTTTTTGCAAGCTTGCCTCTGGTCGCTGGTGTTGTATTCTGGTAGAAGAAAAAATAAAAATCAAACGGTTTATTTGAGTAATTTGTAACTTGGCGCTTAAAAAACAGCGTAACTGCAATTACTTAGGAATATTAAGAAATGTAATTTTTAAAACTAAAAGGGCCGATAAGCTTCCCTTAGGAACCAATTTTGATTGTGCTTTATTTTGAACAAGTCTATGGCCACATCCCTCTCTCCACCCGGCTTGATGTCCCAGTAAAGTGCTCCGAGATGTTACCCTATATTTGCCAGCCACCTCCACCCAATTTCAAAGTCTAGCTCTTTGGCTACATTTGGGCCATCTTTTCCCTCTCCCCACCCCCATCCCGAGCTCAGGTACCCAGGCAGCTGGGGAAAGTGCTTTGAGATGTCCTCCCAATGTGAAAGGCGCTGTAGATTGTAGTTATGCAAACGCTACCCTATTCCAGCTTTCCCCTCACCCCCTTGCGCAGGACACGTCACACGTGTGACCACCATCAAAAAATGTGTTGCACATCACAATATGTACAATGACTAACAAGCACTGTTTCCACTCAGGGTGGGTGATGGGGAGAGAGAGAAAATGGAAAGAGCAAAGGAAGGGTCGAGGACAAGAGACTGAAAAGCAAATACTCCCTGAAAAATATGGTCTTATTCATTCTCAAGTGCCTAAATGGAGTTCCCAGCTGTTTGATCTGAACAGCAACCCCCAAAGGGGATTTTGTAATGTCAGAACACAAATTAAAAGATGCAGTGTAAAAATTTCTGAAGCTTCTTTATAAATAGTTTGTCTTACACATGTACCCCATAGCTCAGGTGTTTCCTTGTCCTTTAGTGCTGATCTACATTACTGGTTAATGTCCAGAATTTTATTACCACAGAACTTTTTTTCTTAAACAAGTGCAGCTGTACGCAGCCCGGGAGGTGCTCTTCACACTAGTGCCCTTGTCAAGGTTCCTTTCCTGCTGAGCCCATTAAGATTATCTCATATTTCCTATTCCTTTTCATTACATGAAGAGCTCTTGGAGAACAGACAAACACAAACTGAGGTTAATGCTCAGAGGAATTGTTTGACAAGTTTTGAATTGGTAAATTGTTTAATGGCTGAAGATGGCTAAAGAGCCACCAAAGTTAGCAGCAACTTGTAGTGGCTTGGAGAACATCTCCATTTATTCACGCTATCTTATTACAAAGCCAGTGCAATGGATTAAAACATTTTATAACCCATATAACTTTAAAATGATCATTGGTGCACAATCTGGGTGGGAAGGGGAAGACGGCATTCACAAAGCACACAAGATCTATTGACACAAACCTAAAAAGGAAACGTAAATTATGGTTTTGATGTTGAACCCTTTTCCTTGTGTTTGTTCAGCAGCTCCAGTAAACCCTTCCATGAGAAAGTGGCTCTCAATATCTATGGAATTTAAATATTTATTTTTATACAAAAAAAAGGCTGAGTAACCAGCCCTTTCTGTGTTGTTGCAGTCTTGGGTGTATCATTTAAGCCACACGACAAAAAAAGCTTTTGAAATGTTCCACCACCACATTTACAATCAATGGCATGGAGGAACACCAGCAGCATCAGTGTGCAAGCTCCAGGGCTTGCGCTGTTCACATTGCTGCAGGATGTTGAAATCCAGGAGTGCAGGTGCAAAGCAAAAGTGCCAGCACAGCAGCTTCAAGTTGAATACATTGGTTACTTTTTTATGAATGAAAGAATGGAAAATCATCTATCAGGCTCAGTACCAGGATAAACAATCATAGAACGTCATCACACAGAAACAGGTCATTCAGCCCATTGAGTCAATCCTGTCATTTGTCTCCACATGGGTAAACCAATTCAAATCCCACTTTCCTGCTCACACCCCGCATCTTTAACATTATAAAGGGATAGTGAAAATCAATATTACACTACCAAGTTTTCTCCAGTGCTGAGTATACACAAGTCAGATTTACTTCTGTCCTAAACTGGCAACACAAAGAAGATACAAAGTGAAATAGTCACATGCATTGTAGTGAAAGCACAGATCAAGATTTGAATCTTGCAACCCTCTAGTCCAGCCGTCACTGGGGATTGCCCACTAGGTTACCAGGAGAACAATTTTGGAACAATCCATTTCAATGCAGAGTTTGAACTTTATTCATGGAATGTAAAAGATTTGTGTAAGGTTAGGTAAGACATCAAACACCGATCCCTAGCTGAGATTGTGAAGCAGTAACTGCCTAACATCAGCAGTGGGAAAATTTTTAGAATCCATAACAGAGGAAAGGATGAATTCCTTTTTTTTGATCAGCCGGGTATCCAACTCATGCAGAAACCCATCACCAAGCTTAAGAGAATCCAAACTAAACAGAGACGCATGAACCCACCTATACACGGAAATTCCCACGTATTGGAATGGAATGCACACACTCTACCTGGAGGAACGAATCCTACTTACACAATTCCGGAAAGCATTAGGCACAGGTTGCCAAGAGCCAAGGCTTGAGAACCCCAGTGTGTTCTGGGGTATTGCTGGAGTTTAACCAGCCATAAACACATAGCACTGAAATATCCGGCAAGCTTTCCCACTGCTTACCCATCTTGTACCATCCTACCCATTAGGGCTTTGGTTTGCAGGGTTACCAGGAGCCAAGTGGGAAGAATCTCTGGTCTCGGTGACTGGTCTGCCCATCCAAGTCCTACAGATCAGCGAGGCTGACTACGCCGTCATCAACAGTGCCTGGATATTTTTCCAAGTGGAGAATATAAACCGTGAGGTTTCTCCAGAAATCAGTGATGGGACCACTGCTCTATTTAATGTGTATAACATATAAATGATCTGGATTTGGACAAAGGGGACACAGTTACATTTTACAGACAACATAAAAATAGGGAGTTGGGGTGAACTGAGGAGCAATTTCAGGGTAATCAGATTTTGGGAGAAAATATATATTATAAATGGTAAAAAAATGACTAGTTACGCTACTGTTGGAGGATTAAGTCATGCTCTGGGCATCCTACTTTAGGAAAGATGTTAAGGCCATGGAGAGGGTACAGAAAAGATTCACTAGAATGGTACCAGGCATGATTTATTTATGGAAGAGAGAGTAAAGTGGGACTTTTCTTACTAGAACAGAGAGGTGCTTAATCTTCTGAGGGATTCGATAAGTAAACAGAGGGAGGGAACTTGCAGGTTAGAAATATACTACTTTCTCTTCTTGGCATCCCCTGAAGCATGGTTTTGCGGATTTTTTTTAAAATATCAGTTTTATTTACTGAAAATAAAGCACACTAATGGCATCTGTTGATATAATGATTATACTGTACTAAACACCGAGCCTTTCTTCTAGTAATAAATATTCCTTACAGTTACTGCACATATGGCAATTGGTATTCCCTCGTGCAAAATGCGCTCTATGTAAACAGCTTTATAAAACTTAAAAGTCAAGCTTTTCACTGATAATTGACCAGGTTAGTGAATTACTCCGAAGTTTTCATTTTATCCTAAAATTGAAATGTTTGTCAATCACATCAATCGTCAACAAGTCTCGCACAATTTGTGTGCCTTCTCCAGCTACACGTGGAAATAGTCCATGCCTGTAATATGTTATTTCCTCCGATTCCAAAAATACATGGACATACAGGCCATTTCTATAACATGTTCTCTTATCACCTGACTAGTATTTAATTTAAGAGAAACTAGGAAACTATTACATTTTAAAAATAACAAATTGGTTAATCAATCCACAACTGTTTGTGGGACACTGCTGTGCGCAATTGGCTGCCACGTTTTGCCCACAAAATGTACAGTCAATTTACTTTACAGTGTACTCTGATGCGTTTTGAGAAGTCTCAAAGACGTGATAAGGCACTATATGAAACACAAGGCTTATTATTATTGTAATTATCATTATTATCATAGACATTAAGAGATTAGAGGAAGTGAAGAAGACTCTCCTGGAAAATGGATCATTCACAAAAATAAACTGGAGTAAAGCACTGTACATTCACAAACAAAGCTGCATGTCATAAAACTCCATGGGCTCAGACATTCCACGTAAGTTAACATTTCCTCTTGCTGCTACATTACTCCAAATACCATCACAATTCTCCCCAAATAAAGATGATCCATGAGATTAGATTTCAACATTTGTAAGCCTGGTTACAGAGGAAGCCTGTCCTCTCCAGGATGCAGTGATGTCCATCCCAATAGGTAACCGGAGGCCAATCTTGACTGTGCTAACAAGAGTGTCAGTGAGCAAATCATGTGCATAGGATGGGGTGTTGGAAAAGGAGAATAGGTATTGCTAAATTGTAGGATGAATCAGAGTATGAAACAAAAATAATGACCACTAACTATTATAATTCTTTCCATGAGCTCTGTTCCAGTGGACGGAACTCTTACTGAGAGGAAAAAAAATCTTATTGTTAGCTTTGAGTAGGTTTGTTACAGGCTCTTGCAAAGCCTCTGGAGAAGATCAAATCGAACAATTGGTTTGTGTTTAAATACAGACAATAATAGTCAAGTTGTGGGGCTGGAAGGTGGCCTAGTAACTGGGAAGCAGAATAAAACTGCCTATGTACAAGAGGCCAACATTTTAGGCCACAGTTGTTTTTAAAAAAACTTTGCAAACCTTTCTTTCCTCTGGCTACTTTGATCGCCTCAATTTTATACACAGCACATGAGAATCGATTTGAGCTCATCTTCAGAATAGTCCCTTAAACATTCTGAAGGGACTATTTTTCAATGTTTCAAAAAAGAGCCAGTTGCATGTCAAACTCTTATAACCTTACAAAAAATACTGACACTGTAGTTTGGGGCACAGATGCAGAGCTCCCCTCGTAGCCGAAACTAGTGTTAGGAGGAGACGGAATGTATAATCTAGCTTCTTCCCCTATACGACTTTACTACTGTAGGTGATGTGGCTTTGAGTACAGCTGAATAAACTCAGCCGGAAAGCTGTTAGGACAATCATGCCAGTGAATATGCAGCAGTGCTGCCCAGTTAATGGGCAGGTTGAAGGAATCACTCATTTTCAAAACAGCCCAGGCACCAACTCAATGGCCTGGCAACAGTTACTTGAATCTCCCTTGCCCACAGGGATCTGCCGGTTAGCAGTCTTGTACTGTACCTGGATAGCATCTGTCCACATACGATTGTAGCCCTTCCACCAGCTGCTTGTTTGTCTTCTCCCACACCAGTCAAACCTTAATTGGGACCTCTACAGATGTATTTGCCATGACGTCATTAATTGGTAATATATTACACTACTTTGTGTTGTGTTTCCACCCACACCACTGGAGGCCTCATTAAGCTAAACAACAAGCGGTGTGCTTTGAGATAGCACTGATAGTAAATGCTTAAACAGTGGTACCAATAAAAGAGTTTCTGGTTTACTTCCTGCTCATAAAATTTTATGCCACACTTTAAATGGCCGGATCTGCTTCTAACAAGCTGCATGCTGTTCTACTAAAGCCCCTCAAACAGCTACAATTATGTTAAAGGTATTTTAAAAATGTTAAGTGACAGCTCATTAACCCATCAAGGCATTAACCCTTTCACCAACCCATTTGTTTTATACTGGAAGCTTGTTAAAGCAGTAAATCCTGGTTGTTCTACAATTAGGTAATAATGAAGGAGGAGGAGGGTGTTTATCGTGGGGTTTAACCCATCAGAAATAGTTTGGGCGTTGAGCTGAAGCAGAAGGTCTTTCAGGTCAATACCTGGTCAGAAGCCTTTCTTGTAGTAAGATGACTGCATCTGTCTGTAGTGTAAACTGAGGAAACATACAGGGAAAGTTGCATCTGCCTGGGAATCTGGCTCAACTTCACAAGAAACAAATTCACATAAGCTTATATCTCTGCCTTTTGAAAAAAAACAATCTGCACAGTAAGGTTCAAACTCACACTGCGGATGGTTGACAGTAACACAGGCACTGTTTGGGCTGATACCCACAAGAGAGCTGTACGATTGGCCTTACTGTAGCACTGCTTGGCCACGTCTCTCGGCAGATTATAATAATAATCCTTGCATTTGATATAGTGCCTTATCACGTTTTTGAGACATCTAAAAGCGCTTCACAGAATACACTGTAAAGTGAATTGACTATCTTGTGGGCGAAATGCAGCAGCCAATTGCGCACAGCAGTGTCCCTCAAACGGTCATGGATCGAGTGACCAAATTATTATTTTTATTTTATTGAAGGGATTATTATCTCCGGAAAAGCAATCCGCCAATCGACTAACAACTGAGTTCCTACTTACTGCTAGGTAAACAGAGGCTTGTGGAGTAAATAAACTTGCCCAACAATTTGCCCTGCAAATGTGAATATTGGAAGCTATTAAACTGTTCTGAATTCCCAGAACAAACTCTGGACACATTGTGTTTAAAACACATTCATACGAATACCCCTCTATCCATAACACAGATTTGATTCAGCTGCACAATGGAAAACTGTTCTGAGTACCTTCCTTATCTGGCAATGCTTATGCTTTAACTGAGGTCAAGTTAGGCTACTCATTCAACAGGAAAGAAGGAGAAAGTCACAGAGAGCATTATCTTTTTAAGAGCTTCATTACCCAACCAGGACTCAGCAGACAATAAACTCCCAGCCCGCTGCGGGACTTCAACAGGAGGTCTAAGAGACCATGTTCATAGTTTCTTCTTCCAAAAACATGAGATGAGATTCAGCAGGGACAAATTCCACCTGGGTCTACATTTACACTGTTTTCTTAGCATTTAACGGGCATGAAAAATTCGGTAAATCTTTGAATTCTGTCTCAGGTTTGAAGCCAGTTCTCTACAGATATTTAAAAAAAAGATTTTAATGCAGTAGCAATGCACTACAAAGTAGGGGGGAGGGCAGAGGCGGAAGCAGGGAGATCGAAAACATGGTCGAAGAGGAGGGTCTTAAGGTGGGTTTTGAAGGTGACGAGGAAGGGAGCAAGATGGAGGGACTGCGGGATGGAGTTCCAGAGAGTGGGTGCAGAGTGACAGAAGGCCTACCCGCCAATAGTGGGGCGAGCGAGGCAAACAGGGTGGTAGGGGGTTAGGATGTCGGAGAGGTAGGGGGGAGCAAGACCGTGGAGGACTTTGAAGGTGAAGACCAGGATCTTGAACTGTATCCTCTGTGTGATGGGAAGCCAGTGGAGTTGGGCAAGGATGGGGGTGATAGGGTCGTGGAGCCTAGTGCGGGAGAGAACCAGGGCTGCAGAGTTCTGGATGATCTGCAGCCTGTGGAGGGAGGAGTTGGAGAGACCGACAAGCAGTGAGTTTGCATAGTCGAGCCTCGATGTAATGAAGTATGAGGGTTTTGGCGGCCTGCGGTGTGAGACAGTGTCAGAGCCGGGCGAAGTTGCGGAGGTGGGGGAAGGCAGAGCGGGTCATGGCGCAGACGTGGGGTAGAAAGGATAGTTGAGGGTCAAACAAGACCCCAAGGCTCTGGACTGGCTTAGCAAGGTGAGGTGAGGAGATGCTGATGGGAGCCAATCAGGAAAGCCTTGGTCTTGTTGACGTTCAACTGAAGAAAATTAGCTCTCGTTCAGGACTTGATGTCTGACAGAGTCAAGGGTGGAGGCAGAGAGGTAGAGTTGGGTGTCATCCGCATACAAAAACAATCTTTGAGCAACGAACATGGAAGCTGCATGCTTAGAAGGAAACATATAATGAAAATGCCCACACTATCTTCCATTGAAATACCTTGTGGATCAGATAATCGGTGGCCATATCTTTAGCCACTGTGCTCCTAACCTCTGGTACTCCCTGTCTCAAGCTCTTTGCCTCACCCTCTTTATCTACTTTTAAATCCCACCGTAAGACCTACCTCTTCGACCATGCCTAAGGTCACCTCCACCTCCTCCCCTGTTGCCGTCCAACCCAGACACTGTGCAGTGCTCGAAGACGTTACTCTGTGTGAAGGGCACCATGTAATTTCAAGTTGTTGTGTCTACCACTTTTCTTCCCCTATTTGCAGCAGATACATTTATTGAGGTTGAATGAAAGATTTTCAACCAACATATGTATACACTGGAACTATCATCTTACCAACCACAATCATACCAAGTGCAGAACCCAAAGGGGATTATGGTTGTGCATAGCAAATTGAATGTGATAACCGTTTGTAGCTGTAATACAGACTGTACTCTATGGAACAAGTTATTAGGAGTATTACATGAATTAGACCATCCACATCATTATGGTACTGAGTTTGAACATCGCTCTCGTACCAGACCAGACATTTATAAATAACTTCAGTTGCTTGACGATCCGAGTAAACACATGGATTCTCAGGTTAATTTCCAACTGAAGTAAGTCACAGCGTAAAGAGATCAGCCAATTCCCTCCAATGTAAAAACTTTACTCTAATTTACCACCATTTGAGTACAGCAGTTGGAACCAAATGCTCCAACTTGAAAATCGGAAGACAATGAAAGGCTGAACCCGCTCTCTCTCCTAGCTGTTCTCATTTACCAGTTAAACTTGTGGTTCTGGGTGCCTCTTGAGCCGGTGTAGATTTGGTACGGCCTTGCTGCCTGCGTTTGTTTGCTGATCGTGTTGTCCGAATATGCACCTCACTGACCTTGAAGAAGACCACCATGAAGGGCTGCTTGTCATGGGGCCCGTGCTGTCCTATCAGACCGGCCAGTTTGGGGTCGACACTTTGACCTGCAACAATATGAGAAAGGTAAGTAAGTCTCAAAGTGTTACATTGGTTTCTGTTGATCTCTGGCTTGTACAGAGTGTTTGGTGGCTCACGTGGCAGTCATGTTATTCCATAACTCAGAATAATTGCCTTTGAAACACTTTAACATTGAAGACAATTTACAGAGAGTAGTTAAGATCAAATATCGTATCGTAGAATCATACAGCACAGAAGGGGGCCATTCGGTCCATCGTGTCTGTGCCAGCTCTTTGAAAAAAGCTATCCGATTCAATCCCACTCCTCCGCGCTCTCCCCACAGCCCTGCAAACTTGTCCTCCCCAAATAATTATCTACTTCTCTCTTAAAAGCTGTTATCGAATTGGCTTCCACCAACCTTTCAGGTAATGCATTCCAGTTCCGAACAACTCACTGCGTAAAAAAANTTTCTCCTCACCTCCGTTTCTTTTAACAAATATTTTAAATCAATGTCCTCGGGTTACCGACCCACCCGCCAGTGGAAATAGTTTCTCCTTGTTCACCCTATCGAATCCCCTCATAATTTTGAAAACTTCTATTAAGTTCCCTCTTAACCTTCTTTGCTCCAAGGAGAATAATCCTAGCTTCTCTAGCCTCTCCTGATAACTGAAGTCCCTCATTCCTGGTACCATCCTGGTAAATCTCCTTTGCACCTTCTCCAATGCCTTGACATCATTCCTAAAGTGTGGTGCCCAGAACTGAACACAGTACTCTAGCTGAGGCCTAACCAATGTTTTATAAAGGTTTACCATAACATTCTGACCACGACTTCTGGATGTTTCCCTGTAGAACGTTTTGCACCCGTTCCGTGATGTCTTCAACCCTGGCTCCAGGGAGGCAACATAATATGTGAAAGTCATGTCTTTGGTTGCAGAAACACCTGTCTACTCCTTCACCATTGCGTCGCCAATGACAATTGCATTGACACTCTTCGTTGTGTCCCTCTGTGCATCCATTTGCTTTCGACTCCCCTCCCCAGAGGTGTCATCACCCGGACCGGTATTCAGTGCAGAAAACCAGTTTGTGAGTGCCACACTCTCAAGGGAATTCTGCACTGCCCATCCCCTCTTCCTTCCATGCCAGGTGGTCACCAACTCACTATCCTGAACCCTCTGTGGTTGTGGGGTGAACACCTCCTGAAATATTAGATCCATGAACTCTTCAGCCTCCCATATCCTATGTAGTGACACCAGCCTCTTCTCAGGCTCAGAAACTCTAGAGCTCAATCTTGAGCAGCCGGAGGCACTTCCTGCA